ACTTGCCCAAATTTGCATAGTCATTACAGTGGGGTTAGGGAGTGTCAAGATTTACTTCTTAACCTAGCTCTCACTTCATACTCTTTCCACCAGACAGAGCATCCTTTGAAGTTCTTTATCCTTAAGAACTTCATCTCTAAAGAACTCGCTCTTAAGAATCTTAGAACCATAGAATGTTAAAGGTAGATAAAATCCTAGAACTATTTTAACCCCACCTTTTTAATTCTGCAAGTGATAAAACTCAGGAAAAATAAGTAGTTTCTCCAGAATCACAAAACTAGAATCAAACTATGCTGACCCATTCTTCTCTATTTTGATTCCTGTGGCATTTTCAACTTTAATCCAAAACACAAAGTATTTCTCAAAGGAGTTGCTATTCACAAAGCATTGGAAATCTTACAAGTGACACATACTCAGATACTTTTAACCATTAGTGATTATCTATTCAGCAGCAAATCTCAAATATCATCACTTTACAATTTATCTGGCTAATACATGAAAACTGATTACCCTTTTTCCATAAAAGTATTGGTAAGATCAAAGATACTCAAATCCCATAAAGAAATAACAATATCTCCCCCTTTTTAATAAAGAGGTTAAGAGGAAATAGTATCATCTGTGGAGTACACTCTTAAGTATCATAAACAAAGATCATAAAACTGCAGAAGCCATGGAGAGAACTTTTATTGTTGGCTTCTCACAGAAACACAAAATCAGTCAATTTTGTCCTCCCTATTGCCCTTAAGTTGTAAAAGAAATCATAGACATATAGATGCATAGGTAGATAGGTGTGCAAGAGTGAATTAGAGACTAAAAACATATCTAAAATACACACATCAATTTTGCATAACTTTTCATTGAGTAGGAAGAATAGTCAAGAGGAAAAAAAACGACAGCAGCAGCAACTAAAATCCTTGAGTCACAATTATTATCTAAAGAAATAAAAACAAGTTTGTTTTTTTATCATATGGGTTTACATAAGGACACAATTTTATGAATTTTATTCTATCTTTGCATTAATTTTTTAATGCAGAAAACAGTTTGGAAAGAGATGGGAAATATGTATTAAATAAATGTTTCCCTTAGGCTCAATAGTCCTGAATATATTCATATAAAAGTAAAACAAATCTTTGGAAATTATTTCTATAACTCTATTTGGGCATCTATGTAGCCAATGAATATCACTAAGTTTTAAGTGTCATCATGTTCTGTTGTTTGCTGTATTCCCTGTAATTTTGAGAAAGTCATACACCCTTTCTGAGTCTCAGTTTATTTATCTACAATATGGAGATAACTGCCATTATTTTACAAGTTTATTATAATAAGTAAATTTAGAATTATACATGAAAAGACCTAGTATATTGTCTTAAGCACTCAAGACTTGTTCGCTGTGTCTCAATTTTTTCCACATAGCAAAGACAGTTACCAAGTGGCACAGTATTTATCACATCCATATGTCCTCAATGGAAAGAGACTGGAATAATAGGAAGTCAATCAAGAGAATATGGATTTTGGTTTTATTCCCTCACATGGGCACTCAAAGCAGATTTACTGAATGACTATCTAATTATTCAAGAGATTGCAGTAAGACATTGATCAAAGGCACTGGCTCAGGGAAAACACAGTACAGGAATGCTGTGTGACCTTGGGCAAGTTCCTTATTCACTCTGATCTTCAGTTTCCTCAACAGTTAAATGGCACAGTGATGGCACTTGATTTTTTTGTGATTTGAGAATTTAGTGACATAATAAATCAAAAGTACTTTTAAATGTTTCCTGCCACATTGCAAATTCTTAAACAAATGAGCTTAAATTTTCATTCTCATGACCACAGCCTTAATATTTTAACAATCATGAATTCCTTTACTGCAGATTCTATGGATGTGTGTTCACATGTCAGCACATTAGTTGATTAAATAATTTTTTTTCCCATGCCGTCCCTGTTGGGATGGTCCTGCTTGGCCTGCAGCCATTGGAAGAATTCTCACTCTCAATTTTCTTTTCCTGGATTATAGAAATTCTGCACAGCTGAGACCAATCTAGTGACTAGATCTACAAAATATAAAACAAAGGCATCGCAGCGCTCTGCATCCAGAAGCTATGGAGCCATGCCATTCTTGTGTTTCCCAAATCATGACAGAGCTGTGGCTTCCACCAAAAGTTTATCTTCTGTGTTTTGATACAACTTACAAATGTCAGTAAATGTCATAAATATGATATATAAATGCTCCACTACTTTGACTGACTTCCATGTTAACATGAGAGTAGTCTTACTATTTGTACAATAACTTTTATATGCCTGTATTTTTGAGCAGCTCTTTGGAACTTTCAAAAAGTGTGTAGCGACTTTGTAAACTTAAAGAGAAAAACTACACAATAAAGCCTACCCACACAAACATGTTCACACAAGCAAACAATCACAAACTCTAAAGGGAACATGTTATACTTACTAAGAGTAATCTGGGAACCAAAAATTGTTCCTGGCAAGGTTTCTGGTTTTGAGATCTTTACTCTTTTTCTTTCCCTTTTGTCTGCCTTAAAATTTCAAGTCAAAACATCACCTCAAACAATAAGAGTCCTCTAGCTTACTATTACTACTTTTTAGTTAATAAGCTCAGGAAAACCTTTCCTTTTTGTAACAGAAAAAGTATTTGGGTTCTAATAATTTAATTACTATTATAATATGTGAAAAAATATGATTTTCATAATTACCTTGATAATACAGACCAAAATATAATTTTGTCTCACGTAGTATCTTTCTAATGAAGGCATAAATTATTCAAAAATTAAATGGATGCAACTATTTATTTATATTTTTATTATGATTATATTTGAGTTGGGGATCTCTCTCTGTTGCTCAAGCTGGGGTGCAGTGGCACACTCGTGGCTTATCACAGCCTTGACCTTCTCTATGCTTAGGCAATCCTTCAGCCTCAGCCTTCCCCAAATCTGGGACTACAGGTGCACACCACTATGTCTGGCTACTTTTTTTTATTTTTTGTAGAGACGAGGTCTGACTATGTTGCCTATGCTGGTCTTGAATTCCTGGGACTCAGCCTCCCAAAGTGCTGGGATTAAGAGCATGACTACCATACCTGGGCTAACAATTTATGTTTTATGTGGAAATTAAAATGTCCTATCTACTTCTAAGCAAATAAAAACATGAGTCTTCAAAGAAAATGTCTATATAGACATTTACAAACTACCATGACTTGTAGATTCTTTCTTTTTCAATTTAACTTCCAATATACAATTTTAAAATGTGAACTTAATAATGTTATTTATTTTGGTGACTCACAATATAAAATCCAATAATTTACATAATGTGACCCCCCGCCAACTTTCCATTCAACCTTCCTAATGAGTCTTTCTCCTCTCTTTAATATATTTTGTGTTTTAGATGCCAGGAGACTGTTAATTTTTCTAATGCATCAAATATTTTCATGCTGCATCTAAATATGAAATAACTTTTTTTGTACATATGAAAAATTCCTATCCATTTCTTAAGGTTAGCTCCAATGTTATCTGCATGTATAACTTACAAACTCACCAATATCTGTTACTTATTTATATATTCACATACTACTATACAATTATGCACATTTTAAACCATATATTGTTATATTTTATTTGTTGAACTAACAGGATATTTGAGAAGTCAATGAAAATAATGTCATTATATATGTCTTTTTGTATCACTATATATGCCTCTCTAAAAAACAAGTCTTCATTTAACATTATATATTTTATAACTACACAGAGGCTTATTTCTAAGTTGAAGCTATTTCTAAATGTTTTAAATAGCTCTGAGACTGAAAGAGAACTTTTCAACATTGTATTGATCCAAATCTAAGAAAAGCACTATTAATTATACTTACAGTTTTAATATATTTATTTATCATCCACCAGTTTTGCAAAAGTGTTTGTTAAAATCTAACTGCTTAATCATCAGTTTCTTGGTGGCACAAAATGTTTTTAAAACTCAACAAGAGTTGTACACTTTTATGAATTTAGCAAAATCTAATGAAACAATTCACTTAGAAATTTCCAAAGATGACTTTTTCAAATGTTTTTAATGTTTAAAAAAAAGTGAGAACTTTTATAGGGGATACACTTAAAAATCATTACAGAGTATCAGAAAAATATTTCTAAACATTTTAAAATTATCTTTTCATAGGATGAATTTCTTTTAAAAAAAGTTGTTTTTTGTTTTCTTATTCATTTATAAAATGGTGTCTTTATGTGGAAAGTAGTGGTTAAATTTGTATATTTATTTAGTTAAATATCTGGTAGGTAGCTAATGCTAGCAGCCATTGTTTTTCCTTATATTGTGTCTGAGTAGGAATGCAAAGAGATTAAGTGTTAGCTCTGCCCTTTTCTTGCTGTTTGCTTGTGTTTGCAATGAGTAATATTCTTAATCCACAGTTGCCTTACAGGATAGCTTATAGACCCTTTGAAGATGAGATTAGTACTAGTTTCATTGAATATGAATAATATATTTGATAAATCAAGCACATGTAAATTGAAAAACACGGGAAGCCGAGAGAAGGAAGAAGATGCTTCTATCGAATCCTTTCTCCAGTGTGTCTTCATTCCAATATGCCTTCGAACTCTTTGACATACACTTAGATCATCAGAATAAAGCTGATTTCTTTCCTTATCTTTAGATTAATAATAAAACTAATTTGCTAAATCCTTGAAAGTATCAATCATTGTTTAATCACTTTCACAGAACTGTGTATGTACCTTTGTTACAGTTTTTACTACTCTCCAATTTAGTACTGTACATATAGACAGAGAATAAAGTGTTCTGAGGCAGGGATTTAAAAGATTCTTGCTAGAGAACGTGGAACTTGCATATAGATAATGATAAACTTTTTTTTGTTGTTGTTTAATTAGTGAGTGAATTACTAATGGTGTTGTCCCATGCAAACCTAAACAGGAAACTATGATTACACACTAAGCTATGCTTACTAATGCAGTCATATCTGATTATTGCAGGTACTGGTCCAATATGGCTGAATGAAGTATATTGTTTTGGGAGAGAATCATCTATCAAAGAGTGTAAAATCAAACAATGGGGAGTAAGAACATGTTCACACTCGGAAGATGCTGGAGTCACTTGCACTTTATAAAGCATGTTTCCTTTACATCTACAAAACCATTGTTTAAAAATGATTGTTTTACCTTGTTCCACTAAAATCAGTTTAATGAATATTTAAGATATTAAGAATATTGTCCAAAGAATGATGACTTTAAATTATTGGCTAAACATATCTAACACCTAACATACTTACTATAGATCTGTATTTAACTCATTTTTAAATGGAATTTTCTAATATAATGATTTATATATTGAATTGAATATATTGAAGTTTAAGAATTCTTGATCACAAAGGCCAATAGTAATGGAAATGTATACCAATCATTGGTTCCAACTTATACTATCTTCCACCAGGAGATTACAATTTTTGCTATTCTTGTCTTCTTTGTAAGCTAAATAGCTAATTTTAATTACTTACTAAATAATGAAGGGGTTGAGAAGATTCTTTTGTGCTTGGTTTGCAAAATCTCCAATTTAGACACTTTAAAAAAATAATTATATTCAGATATCAATATCTCTGAATGTACAATAACTTGATATTGAATAGCAATCATAATGAAATAAGAGATACATCCAAGACGGCCACTGTGAAGCAGCAGACTAGTGCCTCTCCCGCAGAACAGAACAGAGAATACAAACCCAGTTGCTGATAAATGCAGGCACTTTGAATAATTTTGGACCCTGCAGAGGACTCTTTGAACACATAGAAACCAGGGAATAGAGTACCAGGTCAGCAGACACTGAAATCAGGGCACCCCACCCTCTGCTGTGCACCAGGTTCACATAGAAGCTGCAGCCCTACCCTGTATACAAGAGGGGGTGAGTGATCCTGACACACTCTGGGACAGTTCCCCCATTCCCAGCTGTATGTGGGACACTGGTCTCATGTAGGAGGAGCCCTAATCAGGGAACTGTGGTGGGAGACAGGAACCTAAACAGAGTGGGAAATGTATCTGTGCTCTGATCTGCCAGATAGCCCCCAAGCACATGCCTCCCACCTGCAGAGCCCAGCAGGCCAGGAAAGTGTACCTCCCGATTGTACCCAGTGGGTGCTCACCAGCAGTGTCTGATGGCCAACTCTCCCTCTACAACAGGAAGTATTTCCTACCAGCCCCACATGCTGACAGGGTAGATTTCTCTCTGTGGCAGAAAACTTGCTGTCTTTTGAGTGCTGAGCATGAACTTGAACAGGGAGTATGGGACATGAAAGACACATAGAGTGTTTCTGGGTGGGAAGGTTTCTGGGCTGTGAACCTTGAATTGCAGCCAGGGGCCCATCCCCCCACCTGATACCCTCATAGTACTCACAACAGGGATTGAAAAGCAGTCTGACTGGTCTGACATGGAAAAACAGCAGAAAGTCACATTCAGGGCAGAGCATAGAGCAGAAATGAATATCCTATTTCTCTCCCTGGGTGATCTATATTGAAAAACAGAAAAGGCCCTGGGACAGCAAGACATGATCTAGCTACAAAACAACAGAAATTAAAAAGAACAATAAAGAAGAAAAAGTTGATTTTCACAAATGGGGAAGAATCAATAGAAAAACTCTGGGAATCCTCAAAATCTTAAAGAGATGGCACCCAAAAAAGAAGCTTTCAGTGCCCAAACAATGAAAGCCACCCAGATTGACCTGTCCAAGATGACAGGCACAGAATTCAGGGTTTGGATGGCTAAAATCAATAAAGAAAGCCATGAGAAACTAGAAGCAAAACTCACCCAAGTCATGCATGAAATAAAAGCAGAGTAGGCTAACTTTAGGAAGGCTCATTCTGAAATCTTAGAAATGAAGAACTTCCTTATGGAATTTCAAGTCATGGGAGCAGGATCAATCAGGCACAGGAAAGAAACTTGGTGCTTAAAGAAAATGGAAATATGAGACTAATTCAGTCTGAGAAAAGACTAAAAAAGAATGAACAAAGCCTTTAAGAAATATGGAACTATATCAAGAAACCAAATCTATATTGGATTTGTCTCCCTGAAGCAGAAGGGGAAACTGAAACATCATGGAACATGCATTTCATAAGGTCAGCCAAAAAAATGTCCAACATCTTGCTGAGAGGCAACCATTCAAGCTCAGGAATTTCAGAGAACTCCTGCAAGTTATCACATAAGAAGACCATTTCTAATAACCATAATAATCCACCTCCACAAAATAAACATAAAAGAAAAAAATCCTAAAAGCAGCTAGAGAGAAAGATCAAACCAATACCAGGGAAGACTCATTAGAATTGTACCAGACTTCTCAGCAGAAACACTACAAGCCAGAAGGAAATTGAGTCCCATCTTTAATGTTCTCAAAGATGATCAATTTCATCCAAGAATTTTCTACCCTGCCAGGCTAAGCTTCATCAGTGAAGGAGAATTAAAATGTTTCCCAGATCCCTATCCCTAAGAGAATATGCCACCTCCAGACCAGCCCTTTGGAGGATGTTTATGAAGGTGTTGAACACAGAAATAAAAGAATGGTTATACCCATCACAAAAGTGCTGGCAAGCACAGAGTTAACAGAGCATACAGATTATTTACAAAAATTAAAATAGACACACACACACACACACACACACACACACGAAAAAAAGCAAAGCAACCCCCTACAAGCCCAATGACAGGGATAAACACTTATATTTCAATAATTAATTTGAACATGAATGAACTAAATGTGCCACTGAAGAGGCATAGTGTGGTAAACTGGATAAAGAAACATGATCTAACATTCTGTTGCCTCAAGGAAACACATCTCTCTGCAAAGGACACTCATAGGTTTAAAGTAAAAGGTTGGAAATTTACCTTCCAAACAAAGTAGAAAAGAGCAGGGGTAGCTATTCTGACATCAGAAAAAGCAGACTTCAATTCTTTAAAAGTTAAAAAGCACTCAGAAGGACTCTACATAATGATAAAAGGATGACTTCACTAGCAAGAAATAGCCACCTTAAACATACATGCACCCAAAACAGGAACATTGAGTTTTTAAAATAACTGTTGAGTAAACCAAGAAAGTACATGAACACTCACACAATCATAGTTGAAGACTTCAGTGCCCTGCTAACAACCCTTGATAATCAAGGCAAAAAATCAACAAGGAGATTCAGACCTTAATTTGACACTCAACCAAATGGATTTAATAGACATCTACCAAACACTCTACCCAACATCTACAGAATATACATTCTACTCATCAGCACATAGAACATACTCCAAGATTGATCACACTTTCAGATATAAATCAAGCATAAACAAATTTCAAAAGGTTGAAATAATACCATGCATCTTCTCAGATCAAAGTGTAATAAAAATAAATATCACCACCAAAAAGATCCCTAAAAACATACAAAACATGGACACTAAACAACATGCTGCTGAATAACTTTTGGACCAATGGCCAACACAGAAATCAAGCCAGAAATAAAAATATTTCTGGAAACAAACAAAAAAACCACATCAGAAACTCTGGGATGCCACAAGAACAATGATGAGAGAAAAATACATAGCACTGCATGCACACATCAAGAAAACAGAAAGATCGCAAGTAATTAGTCTAACATCACATCTAAGGGACCTGGAATGGCAAGATCATCTAAATCCTAATTTTAGTAGAAAACTCCAGATTACAATTGCAGGATATAGAAGACAAAAATATCATAGAAAGGACCAACAAAATAAAAAGCCAGTTCTTTGGAAGGATAAATAAGATTGATGGACCCCCTAGCCAAACTGACTTAAAAAAAAGAGAAAGTTCAAATAAACACAATTGGAAATTAAAAGTCAGTGTCACAACTGATTCTGAAGAAATTCAGAAGATTATCAAAGATTGCTATGAGCATCCCTATGCAAATAAACTAGAAAATCTAAAGGAAATGAAGGATTTTTCTTGCATCACACCAACTCCTATGTTTGAAGCTAGAAGGAAATGAAACCCTAAACAAGCCAATAATAACCCAGGAAATCAACTGAGTTATAAGAAAGCTCTCTGCCATCTAAAGGGCTTCTTGGGGGAATTCTACAAAATATTTAAGGAGGAGATGATATCAATCTTATTGAAAACATTCTAGGCAATTGAGAATGATGGAATTCTCCCTAGCTCATTTATGAAGTTAGCACCATACAGATACCCATACCTGGCAAAGACTCCACTAAAAAAGAGACTTACAGCACTATCTTCCTAATGACCATAGACACAAAAATTCTCAACAAGAATCCAGCAAATCAAATACAGCAACACATCTCAAGGATCATCCACCACAACCAATTGGGCTTCATTCTTGGAATGCAGGGCTGGTTCAACATTTGTAACACCATAAACATAATTAGCATATTAGCAGATGTAAAACTAAGAACCATAGGATTATCTTATCAGACCCAGAAAAATCATTTGACAAAATCCAGCATCCCTTCTTGATAAAAACCCTCAAACGTCTAGGTATAGAAGGAATATTCCTCAAAACAACAAGAGTCATCTATGATAAACCTGTAGCCAACTTTTCTTCAATGGCAAAAAGCTAGCAGCAATCCATCTGAGAACAGAAATAAGGATGCCCACTCTCACCCCTCCTATGCAACATAGTGCTAGAAGTCCTAGCCAAAGTCATTAGGCAAGAGAAGGAAATCAGGGGTAGCTGAATTGGAAAAGAATAAGATAAGCTATCCTTCTTTGTGGATGGTATGATTCTATACCTAGAAAACCCTAGCCAGTCTGTTAAACACCTCCTTGTCCTGATAAACTCTTGAGTTATAAAATCAATGTGAAAAAGACAGTTCTTTTTCTATACATCAAAAAAAGCAAGCAGAGAACCAAATACAAAATGCAAACCCATTCATAATAGATCCAAAAAGAAATGAAATACCTTAGCATTCACCTAACCAGAGAAGTGAAAGACCTTTACAATGAGAACTACAAAACACTGCTCAAAGAAATCAAGGACAATACAAACAAATGGAAAAATTACCCTTGCTCTTGGATTGGAAAAATCATTATCACCAAGATGTCCATCCTACCCATAGCAATCTACAAATTCAATGCAATACCCATGAAATTACCGACATTATTTTTCTCACATCTGGAAATAACAATACAGAAATTCTTATGGAAACAAAAAAAAGAGCACAAATAGCCAAAACAATTCTCAGCAAAATGAACAAAGCAGGATATATCACACTTCCAGACTTTAAACTTTATTACCAGACTACAATAACCAAGAAGGCATGGTATTGGGACAGGGATAGGCACATAAATCAATGAAACAGGGCAGAGATTCCATAAATTTAAAAAAAATGGTCCCTCAACCAACTCATCTTCAGCAAAGCCATCATAACAATCTTTGTGGAAAGGAGACCGTATTTAGCAAAAGATGTTGAGAAAACTAGCCAGTAGTATGCAGAAGAATGAAACTATACCCCTATCACCATATAAAAAATCAGCTCAAGTGGACCAAGTACCTAAATGTAAAACCTCAAACTATAAGAATCCTAGAAGAAAACGTCAGAAAACCCTTCTGGACATTGGAGCAGGCAGTGTAATCATGAAGAAGTCACCAAAAGTAAATACTACAAAAGCAAAGATAG